TTTAGTTGTGTTCTTTAGCATAGTCCTCAAAAGATTAATACTACCCTGGAAATCATGACTTTTGTCATTATGTTATTTAAATTAAAGCTTTGTATCTGAAAAACATGTATTTTACAAACGTTTGTTTCATTTATTAAATATCTGTATGAATTCAATTAGATCATATGAACATGCCATGGAAACATAGCGAACTTTAGAATTCAGAAGGAAACCCTAAATTTGCATAGCAAAAATCATTTTATTGGAGAGCATACGAGGTACGCTGGTTCAATCTTCGACCCAGGCGAACTTTCTCCTTGGCAATCAGTTTAATAAAAATATGCTATACTAAGTCATTATTGTCTACATACTAATTTTAGATACTTATCATTACATTTGAAACAATGTACACATAAAATTACACGATATTTGATGATGATAAAATTTAATCATTGTTCAATATAGATAAAAAAAACTGAAAAGACGTTAAAGAATGCTGTCTGCTTTGTTACTGTACAAAAATATATGCATTAAATAAAAACGAAAAAACAACAATAAAACGTTTTGTAGTATCTATTCACGTGACCAACTTATCTTAATTTTATATTTTCATTTTGATAGCCACACGTTAAACAATAATATTTTCGGTATAAGTGTAGGAGATTATATATACTTTCTGGCAAATTATAATCTTCGTTCAGATTGAAAATAATTGAGACAGACTTGAATAACTATTGTTTATTTTAATGTATCGTCTTACTCACGATGACTTAAGAAATTATTGCACGTCTTTGATTGTTTGAAGTGAATTAAAATATGACTAGAAAAAGATGTTTAGCATAGATTGTATCAGAATTTAAAAGATTGATTTGTTAGGAACGATTCATGTTTAGATATTCATTTTCATTTAAGGATAAGAAAAATTGTGTTATGTATCGTAACTGCTTAAATTATGAATTGTCGTTAGTTATGTATAATTGTAAATGTTCAAATTATTAATTATCTTTCGTAATGTTGTTTAAATTGTCAATTATCCTTACATATGCAAATAATCGCAATCGGATGGCTGGATGTTTGATTGGGAAACCTAGATTTTAGCAGTAATTATTCGCTTGAAAACTCTTAAGCATTCTTGATAAAAAATGTCCGGTTCGTTTCTTGTAATCATTAATATCGGTCTAGATTACTTTTTAAAGCAATAAAAGTTACTTGCCATGCAGGTTTAATCTTACTTTTAGAAACTACGTGCTATTAAATTAATCATGCCACTCACGGATACTTTTTATGGATAATTGATGCAAAAAATTACAAAACTGTTGAAGAAAAAGCATCTATATTAAGATTGCATTTCTTTAGATCTAAACATCTATGTGCTTGAACTTATACATATAAAATGATATAGAACAACAGAAATGCTTAATAACTTAACATAAAAATGCACCTGTAATTGAAAGAAGCTTATCAAGATATAAAACTATGCTTGCGTAAATTCGAGCCTGTTTGTCGTTAACTGAATCTTACACGCAATAATATACAGTAACTTGCATATTTTAAAGATTTACTCAATCGTGGAACTATTTATTACCTAACACATTCAAAGTATCCTGATCTACGTGATAATGCAAGAAGACATGAAATAAATGTTTGTATGTAGATGTCCAATTAACTAAGATTAAGGTAACGCTAGAAAAGAAATACATTTGCAACTTAAAAGGAACTCCACTAATTCCTTTTTGACATGACGGAACTGGAAAAACTGGAAAGTGTCTTTCGATTTTGGAATATATCTCCACCAAAAACTTGATAATTTCAGATCATTCGTTCACTCAATTTGCTTTTCAAAAAATGTTAATTTTATCATACAAAATGATCCAGAAATGAAAAGGTTTTAAATACTTTTAAGTCAAATCTATCCAAGACTCGTACTGATAATAAATTTTAAATTCAACGGTTGGTATATTTCTCTTTTATGTTTTTGCATATTGTTTTCCTGTTTAAGTGCCCTAGTGAATCTATGTAGGAGTTACCAATTGTATGGTTTTAGGGTTTTAGTCTTGAGTGGATACGACAAATTGAGGAAATGGCGCATATATAATATGAAAAAAAAATGAGAACAGACTATCTCAGTTTTCGTACACAATACATTAAAAGTTGAAATTATCTAGCTTATTGATTTCAAGGAAAATCGAGTAGCACATTTTTAATTTCTTTATTTAAATTGGTTCATGAATATTTCAAAATCTTTATAATTAAATTATTACACAATATAAATAATTTGGACATCAAATCCTTATCTCTTCTCCAAATTAACAAATTAGGGATAAATGTTTTTAACTTCAGATTTTATAATATTTTTATCCTATGGGAGGAGACAGTCCTCCAATACCTATATCATACTGACCCAATCTTCAAAGGGACACTTCCAGGCTGTCACATGGTCAATGTTATTTTGTTGAACTATCTGCTATTTTAATTACATTAAAAAGAAGTTTCATTATGTTCATAATGGAACTAAATGTTAATGGGTTTCATTGTCTAGACAAACACTCAAACCTACTGTTATCCCTACCCCCTCCCTACACCACCATCCCCACTCCCACCTAACTCAGTCCTGTTTTGCATCCGTTCTAGTTGAACTATTGTTGCTTACTAGACATATTTTTAATATGTAACTGACCTGTATGTCACATTCAGTATCATTTTAAAAGATACACGTTGAAAATAAAAATTGAATAAATACATAAGGTTCTCTAACTATTTTTATTTTATGTTTTGATTACCTTTTATATGTTTAAATGAAAACTCAAGAAATGAGGATTTGAAATTTGAAAAAAATAAATTAGGTTTTCTTTTCATATGGTACATTGTTATGGTTCAAAAGTCAGATGAGACGACCGAAAGCTCATACATTAAAAACACATTAAATATCAAAAAGGTCGTCTGATAATGTAAATATAATGCAGTATGTCTGACGTAATAGCCAAAATCAGAAAGTGCCATTGAAATAATTATGAACGAGTCTGGTTCTATGAAGTTTTATAAACATGGATAATGAATGTTTTCTGTTGAAGACAACAATAAAAATAAAAGAAAAAGTTTTCATTAATCTGGCAAAATTATTAATAAAAGTACAAAACAAATAATAATTTATACATTTCTATAATTTTTCTGAGAGATTTGTAAGCGCTATTATTAAATTGTTTATATTCAATTTGTAACTAACAGGTCAGTAATAAAAAAAGAAAATGAAAACAAGTTGTATAAAAACATGATAAAAAATAATACGTCTCTTTACAACTGACTCTGTTTTGAATGATATACAAATGAAAAGACGAATATCCAGATATTAGAATATAGCATTTAAACAATTCGATCAATCTGTCCAGCAAAGTAAGTATGAATTAAATGAAACAGGTGAATATTTTACCCCGGGCTACGTAACGGAAAACTTTTTATTTAGCCAGCTAAGTGTGCAGCTGGCTTTGTAGACAAACAAACCATCTCAATCAAATCGTGGTAATACAGACATATTGAAATAGCTTAAATTACTTACCTTATTATATTGTCTCAAATAGTTTATAAAAGCCAACATTAACATCTGGTTCTTACTAATTGAGTTGTATTGATTGGTAAGGAATGTAATGGTTTGTTCGAAGTAGGTTTATGATATTATATAATGACCTAGAAACAAATCGTGTATAGTTACCACTTATTATATTGCCTGGTTTTTCTATATTTTTTTGGGAATGAGTATTTGTATATGCATCTCTTAGGTCTAGCTGATGAGGTAGTTTTGACCCCATGTATTGTATTAGGATTGTATCGCCCAAGGTTGGCCCTGTTCTGGCGCCATAATAGCTAGCGCCGTGATTGTTAGTAATTGTTAGTAGCGCCGTGAAACAAAACAAAATAAACAAGCATCACGATTGCATTACTCTATTTAAAGAAATGACATTTGTATAAATGTAATTATTAGCGTATATTAGTCTGTTTAAAGAATTGACATCTTTATGAATGTATCTTTTAGCGATTTTTTGTTGTTGTTTTTTTTTTTTTGTAAAGATATTTGTTAGTAATGGCAGGTCATCGAGGAAATGCGCTTGGGTGGATCTTCCGTCGAAATTAGACCACAAATGTACGATAATCGGTATAAAAATCAGATAAACTTATAAATAAACTATAAGAAACATATAAGACTTTCTTTTTATTTCATTTGTCTTAGTACGTTTCATTGATATGCATAAATAAGCAAGAGAACCATGTAGTAAATGAACATCTTACAACCAAAAATAAACAATATGTTAGAATAACAAACGAAACAGATGTTTACTTGCCGTGATTTTAAGTACGCAACAAGTTTTCTTTGTATCTATACATCATTTGTGAGTTACTTCTAGTTAAAAAGAAAATCCCCGCTGTAGGAAAAAATAATAATGAAAATATAGCCCACACGTTTCAGATAGATATTAATTTTAGATATTGAATTGATACATTGAAAATAGTTTTGCTATGATCGCATTATGTTAATAGTATTCTAAATGACGTTCAATTTTTTTGCGTGGGTTTTTTAATCTTAACAATATATTAATTTACTAATATAATAATACTTAATTCAAACAGTAAAGGATTCGCCTTGCGAAATGCCTATTTGGATGCTTTAGAACGTGATAACAATATGGATAAAGCAGCGGGTATTTATGAAAAATCGATTTTTAATCTTATCTGAATCTTGACCAGGCGTTAACATGTTTCTGTGCAAGGTAAACCGATGGCTGCGACAAGACGATTAGCTTATGTTTTAGAACGAACTTTAACACATGTAAGAAAGGTAACACTAAACATGTCTGTTGCACTCGATCGATGTAAAAAAGTGGGGAATACGAGGATTAAAAAGAAATGAAAAGAATAAATGGTACTGAGTAGTCAAATCGATGGGATAAAAAGTCCTCTACAGCAAACATTATAAAATGATTACACCGTACGGATTTTAAAATCATTGTGATTTTTTTTTCCAATTTCAGGAAGGAGGTAGCACCGGAATAAATGCGTTGAATTTGTAAAAACAGAATGTCCGTTTTTCGATTGTGAAAAGGAAAATAAAAAGACATACAAATGGATATATATGAATTCTCAAGGATTATTATGCTCGTTTTTGGAGTTTTCCAAATTCTGCCCAATGGAGAAGGTAAGTAAATAAAAAATAGTTTTGTGTTTTATATCAAAATATTTTTATATACCTTACCGAAAAGAAAAATGTTTTAATCAATAAAAAAATCTTTATATAAAAATGTTGCAATACAACTGTTTTGTCATTTTCCTTCTAAAAATAGTGTATATTATATACAGGTAAATCTTAGCTTTACATGTCAATTCCATAATTGAAGAAACATATGGAAAACTTATTTTCTATTTTAGTATATTCATTATACTAGAGTTTATTCATTATATTTATAAAGTTTCATTTGTCAATTTGTACACATGAAAAACACCCGGACGATTTAATCATTGTTAATTAAAAAATAATAATAGGAAAACGGGATGACAATCAATTTTTGTGTAACATTAATACTCTTTGTGCTTTTATTTCTTTTCATCAACATCATTATCATCATCATCATCGTCGTCGTCATCATCATCATCATTATAATAATTATTATTATTTATAATTACAATGAATTATTATTATATTTATCAATTGATGTTGTTGTCGTTCTAATTATAATAATATTTTGGTAATCTGCCTTCCAGTCAAGCCTAATTTTAACATCATTTGTTGATATTAAAATACACTGCTTTGTTGTCGATTTAAACAAGTAAAGATTTCATTATGATTAGCGTGATAAAAGAGTAATGAGCTAAATCATGATATTTGTGACAAGTTTCATAATGCCGGGAACACATGGGGTATAAATCAATTGACAGCTATTGTCTCACTCATGGGAACACAAACAACAATCGCGTAAAAGATGATTGCATCCAAAGTTGATGAAGAATTTAAAGTGATTGATCATTGCAGTTTTACATTGTTTCTTGTCTGAATTAAGGGTAAAAATCATTGCAATTGATTAAATTTGTTGATTTCATCATTTATACCACTTTTATTCTTGTTTCATATACAAAAAGTATAGAGTGTTTAAGCAGTCTTGGATTAGAAACAGAGAACTAAAAACGGCTAGTTCAAATTCATTTCTATTACTTGAATTTAACTATTTATATCTGGTAAGAGAATATGTTATGGTGGCAAAGAAAAATCTGTATGTTGTTTTTTGTCGGTTTGAGAAGTCTTAGGTTAAAAATAGAGACTTAAAAAAGGCCAGTTCAAATTAATTTCCATGACTCGAGTTTGTCTGTTTCCTTGTCAGAGTATTGACTAAGGTGGCGAAGGAAAAAAAATTTATTGTTTTTTGTCGGTTTGAGAAGTCTTAAGTTAAACATAGAGACTAAAAAAGGCCAGAGAAAAATTAATTTTCATGACTTGAGTTTAACTATTTTCTGGCTAGACTATTGTCTATGGTGACAAAGAAAAAAAATTATGATATTTCTTGTCGGACTGAGCAGTCCTCAATTAGATATAGAGATTTAAAAAAGGCCAGCGAAAGTTCATTTTCATAACACGGCTGAAACAATTGTCTGTGAGAACGGTTTCTTGCATATGAAAATTATCAATAAAGCTATTTTCGCGATATATAATTAAACAATGTTTATAAACTATCATAAACTGATGTTTCTCACATGTTATGAGAACAAAATACGTCTTATTAGCTTACAAAATCTTCTAGATACTTGTATTAGTTTGTAAATTACACATTTCTAGTATATACGTATTTACAAAACTAAAAGGTTTTAGAATACATAATAAGAATAGTACTGAGTATTCTTATTTTTAATTGAATGTTGTAAAGTAAAAATGACCGTTGTGATTAAATTCTGAAAACGAAATATACCTCTTTAACAACAATTAAATGATTTTGGACATGACTGGGCTGGAAATACGGGCAATTGTCGAGATTAAGTTTTCATTTGAAGAAGGTCTAGATTAATAACTTTAGTGCAAAATTTTAGATCAATCGCTCACTCCGTTTTTTGTTGTTTTTTTTTGTTTTATTGTTGTTTTTTTTGTTGTTTTTTAGAATAAATATTCTAATTGTGAAAATAACCCAAAATTAAAAAAGCGCATTTTGGACATCTTAATCACAGTTTGTAAAGTTTTCGAAGAAACATGTCTCCGTTATTTTTCTTTCGGAACATGTTATATTTACTCGGATCAGACACTTACTACAACTGCTCTTTTTAAGAGAGCCAAATTATGGTATTTTTAAATAAAGCTGCATGCCTCCAAATGAGCCAAAATTTTCAAAAAAATGAATCAAAAATGAGAAGAAATGTACTACGATTTTATGAAAAGTAAAAAGATTCAAATATAAGTAATAATTTACGTGTTATGTGAAATAAATGACTGATTTTGCAACATTCATTATCATATTTCAACAGCGTGACTAACGCAGTAAGGGCTATTTTGATATATTGCCTATTTTGACCTCTTTTTATTTGGGGGGGGGGGGGGGGGGGGGGGGGGTAAATTACGTGGATTGAAAGTGCCATTTGCAATGTGTAAATTACTTTTTTGATTACTTCACAATATTTACTTTTAAATATATTTTCAAACTTTTAATTGAAAATTAGCAGGAAGGCATTTGGAGGCGTTCTGTTTTAAAGGTGATTTGGGCAAACGCTTTTACTTATACATTAAATATTTATATGATATAGATTCATATACTGATATGCTTGCATTCTGTATCGTGATGATATGTAAAAAGTATAAAAAGTATCGTTTAATTAATACATTTACTAATATAATATAACTGAATATAAAATACAATTTTAGCTAGTATTTAAACTTGCTAAGTATTAAATTACACATACTTGTAGTATAAAAATAACAATTCAGTTTAAACGTATACTAGCATTGAAGTTATAATATACTTTGAAACATCAATTTTAAAGCTGTTAAAAGTAACAAAGTGTAAACAGAAAATAGAGCCAAAGAATAATATCAATTTGTATCATACTTTTGGATTTGTAATGAAATAGTATTTATACATGTATTAAGAATCAGTAAAGCTGACCATTTTGTAATTATATATGCTTTCTTAAACAATATAAATAGCATACTGGTTTCGGGATTAACACGGAAATCTCCCGTCGCTAATTCGTTCGTTATAGCAATATGCGGCCAATTGAAAAGGCATAAAATCTGACGGCCAGTAAATCTAGATGGACGGCTAAGTTTATTTAGTTAATTATGGTTCCTCGAATACATAAAACCGTACAAAATGACTTTCTACAACAACAACAACATAAAAAATACATAAGACATTCTTAGTGTACTTTAACTAAAAGGGAAGCGGTAATCATGTAATAAGCTGTTGGTACTAAAGCAAATAAGTGATAATCAAAACAAAAATATATAAAAAAGTAATCAAAATATTTCTTCACATTACAAAATGTAGGTACAGGACTGGTATAATGTATTACAGATAATTATTTTCAAAAATCGAAATTAGATAACAGTGAATAATATCAGTGGTTGAACCAGTGTCTTTAAAAATATACGCTGCTATTTGATCAACTTTACCATTCAAAAATAATGATGTTAATATTTGAAAACGGTCAAGGGCAAAAATAAAAAAAAGATTATATAGGCTTATTTAAAACAAAAACCGCATTCTTTTTTTGTCAACAAGAAAAAAATAAATAGTATCTCAGAATTTGCTTACCGCTTTGTACTATTTAACACTTAGAGTGAGGGTTTACATGTAATACTGTGTTGCATCCGTAAAATGTCGCCCATTTCTCCAATCTCCTACGCAGTGATCTCCCCTTATCAATACAGAGATCTCTGATATATCAGAATTTCTGATATTTTATATTTTTTAGCTTTTGAATTTAATTTTTATTATTTTGTATAGTTTTGATAAATTTTTGATAAACTAAAACAAACCTAGGTACGAAAAGTTAAAAATAAAACTGAAAGAGAAAAATGACGATAGATTTTCTATGTAACGGTCGATATTTACATTTGAATTTCAACGTTACGTCATGTGACTTTCATCATCATGTGACGTCTGCGAAGGCAGTGATTACAATCTGTAAAGGGAGGTAATCACTGTGAGGAGTTTACCATTTTTCCTCTAAGCGTTGTTTTGCATGTCGAATATTGAATATTGATTAAACTGTTACTGGCAGTTGTTGTTGTCTTTTTGTTTGTTTGTTTGATTTTTTGTTGTTGTTGTTTTTTTTCTCATTTTATTATCATCTGTCATTATTTCACAGAAACATTCGTTGATGAAGGGTGTAAAATTATGTCTTAAAATCATTTGGCCGACACCGGTAGCTGTTGATTCAAATGTTTTAAAGCCGCTTAACAGTGTCGCTGTGACTTGACATATCGTTTCTTCGCAAACTCAATTTTAATATTAGCAAATTGTATGTATGCAAAATGAAAATATCTAATTTCTAGTAGACAGAACAGTAAGCTGTGCAATGTGGAATGAGAAGGATAAGCATGAAAGAAACAATTTCAATGGAAAAGGATAGTATGAGCGGAATACATATAGACTTTCAACATAAAACTTCACTTTACGTTCCGACACAGTATAATTTCTAATTTTGCTTCTTTTTCGGTAGAAAGCCACATTTCTTGTATAATAAAATTCAACGAACGGAGTTTGAAATCAACAAAACAAAAAAAAAAGAATAAAAAAAAGAAGAACGTAAGAAAGAAAGAAAGAAATTGAAACAAACAAACAAACCCCCCACAACACGGACTTTGTGTTTCTTTTATCATATTCTACCCTGTTTGTGTAAACTTTGTATTTTACTTTTTCGTAATAAAAAATTCATTATTATTATTATTATTATTAAAGTATGTTTAAGTTTAAGTATAAAATTCAGATTTTTGCTATTTTCACTTTATATTTTCATGTTGCATCGTTAATTCTTAACCAATATGTTATGCATGTTATTACCACCAATGTTTCATATTTATGCGAAATTGTATATATGTTTATTTTTCACTTTATAACATTGTATTATTATGTAAATCACTTAAATGTGAAAATAAAGAGTACGCCGATTATTAAAGGTCGGAATAGGTTAAAACTGCTATTTGGCCTTTGCTGATAA